GAAGTAGGCAACTTCTTGATGAAGCTACTCAAGGAGCAGAAAGTCAAGCATCCCATCATAGGTGATGTCAGGTACCAGTGCCACCTTTACATTTCTAGCTGCTTTTTGTTTGGTTCAAACAACTCAATCCACCTGATGTAAGAAAATCATTAAATTTGTGTTTTCAGCAAAAATCAAAAGCCTGCTGCACATTAGATTAAAACAAACTTAAGCTTATCAAAAGTCTGATATACTTTGCCACTCTAGGCCAGTACTTTTTTTTATTGATTTATTAGTTGCTAAAGGAATTGGCTTTCCTGTTTGAACTCTTACTTCAAGTGCAAAGAACAAAATTAATGAGCTGCATGGAAAATATGTTTTAACACCATGTCCTGTGCTGGCATTCTGAGCAGATAAAAGTCTATATAGTATTACTACATTTCTTCAGAACAGCAATACCTTTTTCCATCACTAGCCAAATATAAGGTAATTCTCATGCAGTAGAAGTTTGGTCTCACAAAAACCTTTCTCAATTTTTTAGTTCACTTGCAGTTCCTTCCTCTGACACAGATTGACTATTTTTATCTCTTTTAAAGGGGTTCTGGCTTATTCATTGGAGTGGACTTAATCAAGGATCACACAGAAAGGACCCCTGCCACAGCAGCAGCAGAGTATTTAATAACAAGGTACAATCATGTCCTTCCTCAGTGTGTGAGGCAAGCACACAATTACAAAGTAACTTGCCACTCAGTAGTTGTTAAAATACAGCCAACTAGCAGAAAAAGAAACCAGTCAGTGCAGAAAGGCATTGTCTGGACCTGCATGCTGGTGCTTGTAACTTTTTTCTGCACAGCATGCAAAGGTAAACATAATTCTTTGTTACTGCTCTTTCCAGACTTAAGGAAGAATATATTCTACTGAGTACAGATGGGCCGGGAAGAAATGTGCTAAAATTCAAGCCCCCAATGTGCTTCAGTATGAAGGATGCAAAATTTGTGGTGGACACAATTGACAAACTACTAACAGGTAGTACAGATCAAAACTGCCTTATACAGGGGTTGCTGTTGGACCACCTTAAAGTCAGTGCTAAGTCTGCTTTTCAGAAGTGCTAAAATAGAACCAAGATGGTAGATGCTGTCTCATTAGTCTTCGTCAATGCAAGTTTAGTCTTCACTTCTAAATTACTCTGTTTTAAAGTTCTCTGACAAAACCATTTACTCCACAGAAGCATATGCCTTTTAAAATAGCAGTGCTTTGGCAGAGGTTCAAGTGTTCACCTGTCTGAACAAGGGGGAGCAGTAAAAGCTGTCCAAATTTCATTCTTGACAGCCATAATCTGTATGAGTTTGCTAAATTGTTAATTATTCTCTCTCCAGATATGGAAAAAGAATGTCTGAACAAATAGAAAACATCGAGTTGTTCTACCTGAGCAGGTATTTATTTATATTCACTCTCTATTATTTAAAAGCCAAGGTTCCTAAACATCACTTCACAAACATTGTCACTGCCAGTAGAACAGTTTACTCAGAGAGATGCTTTTACTTGAAATTAGTTTGCAGGAATCTCTGGCTATCTAGAAGCAGGGGCCAGACTTGGGTCTATCTATCTGGCATTCACAGCTACCTTCTATCGGAGTCTCACACTTCTAGTAACACTATAGGCATTCACTTGTTTGCATGCTGGGTCCAACATGCCCCAGAAATGCCTACCACTAGAGCATGCTGCGTTTGTTTGGGAAGCCTTAAGAGTGACTGGGTCTAACCCTTGACATGCAAATGACATGCACATCAAGACAAAAACATAGCTTTTATGCTAGCTGCTCAGCACTTTAAAGATTCCAGAAAAGTTTATGCAGCTGCATAACTACTTCTCAGCTTATCTCCCCTTAACCACGCTTAAGGGCAAGAGCACTGTACGTTCTCCATGCCACAATTAGGGGACGTCCACTTATGCTAACCACTTTATGAAGAGCTATAAACAGTACCTTTACTACTATAGCTCCTGTTTTACTTAACATTTGCCTTTGAAATAGGATTGCCTTCTGTTCTCTTGAGCATTTTTGACTACTTCATAGGTTCTCTTGAGCATTTTTGACTACTTCATAGGATCATTTCAGGTTCATGGCTGTTATCTCATGCTTAAGTACCCATTTACCCCTATACTCAGAAGTTTGTGGACATCAGTAAGACCAAGCCTGGAAAACCTCAGTAACTGTTGAGGTTCCCCTCTACAGCTTGCAGCAACTCATTTTGCCACACACTCACGAGCACAGTGTACACTTCCAGTTAACACATCAATGACACCACCCTTTGGTACAGTTAGTACTTTTCTTCAACCTACTCTGACTAAAAGACAACCAAGTGCCCAGTAAAGCTCTAGGCACCTGGAGAGAAATGCACCTCAGTGTAAGCCTTTGTGGCCTCAACCACCATACTAGATTCACAGTGCTCTGGCTCTGAGCTAAGGAGAAATATGCTTTTAGTTCAGTGAAATACTAGTATAGCAGGCACAAGAAAAATGTGTTAATATTTTATTTAGCAAACTTATGGAAAGACATACAGCTGTTTGTTCTACTTATTCTTGAGAACAGAAAGATTACTCAACAGTGCCAGTGTAACTTAGAGACCTAATGACTTCACGTGCTTGCCTGCAATCTGAACTAAGCAAGAAAAAATGCCTTTATTTTCTACAGGAAACCAAGAATGCACAAAGCCTCTTACCAAGTACAGTATTAGTATGACACTTACATATAATGTAAGCAAAAAATGAGGCAATGAAGTAGATTCCTTTTAATAATGCTTTTGCCAAAAAAAAAGTAACATTATTTTCTTTCCATAGGTTTCAAACAATGTTCAAGATCTACTACTAAGAAACATTATTCTACTATAACACACATTTAATCTTCATCCTAGCATGTCTTAGACCAGATAAGTTGCCTTTGATTTTACTACTTTCAGTTATCTTGTTATTAGTAAAAGCTTTAAGATAAATAAATTTTACAAGAGCTTGTTTCAACTTTGTCAGAAGTATGGAATTGGCTTTTATTTAAAACAGCATATCTAAACTTGATTAAAGGAATTTATTTCTAGTAGCTATTATAAACTACATTTTCTAAATTCATGCTCTTTCAGGTTATGACTTTTTGAAAATTAAGATGAGCCAATGGGTTCTTTTTTTTTTTTTTTACACCTGCTGCTACCTATGCAAATGCCATTCTAGCTGCCAGTACACCCAGTCCTTTCCAGGGTCCTTTGACCAGTTTCAGTAGCCGGTTTCATAGCAAGGTCCCTAAGTAGTACTATATTCAACAAACTGTCTCAGTGACTGGATTGCAGTCCCAAATTCCTAACACCAAATGCATGAGGAACAGAGACAGCCAAGGGCCACGGCTCCCAATCCACTTCTTATGAAATATTCTGTCCTCAAGAAATATCCAAGTAGGATTGGTAAATTAAGAAGAGTACATTACAGCCATAAGCAACAACCTTGTGTACAAACCCTTGCTTTCACCCAGCAATTACATGTTCTTTGTATCACAAACTTTTCATGCAAAGAAGAAAGGGAAAGCCAGCTCTGCATTTAAGTACCAGTATCCTCAGTTTCTCCTTAAGGCCACATCACCTGTCAAGGAAGCATTACCCAAGAACCTACTTCCAAAAAAACAAAACACAGCCAGCTAACTAACTATTGCTAATACCCTAGAGCCAGAAGTACTGAAGCAGTATGGTCCTGACACTATGCAAATTCCCTGTTGGAAGGCAAACTTTAGAAAAATACTCTGCTACCCCTTATTTCATACAAAAACAAGTAAAAGTATGCAATGAAAAGCATTTCAATTTTAATCTTGAGACAGTAATCCCTTTAAATACTGTACTCATTTGTTTGTGGTGTGCAAATTTTTTTATTTGCAAGTAAGTTGTGCATTCAGTTACATAGTCCAGCTGTAAAGTTGTCATGTCAACTATCAGATTTAAAATCTGATTCATCTTTTTAATACTCAAGATTTCCACTTAACCCCAAAAGTCTTACAGACTCCTAACTTTACAGCAAGCTTTCTTTTCATGGACAGCCAGCAGGGAGCAGCATATTACAGTGCATCTCTTGTTAAAAAATTAAAAGGTCACTAGTAAAATCTGTTTATGTCTTAGTTGCTCGGTTTGATTCCACTTCTGGTTCCCATTTGAACAAATAAGATTTGTTACAAGAAACAAAGGGTCAGATTTTCACTTTTAAAGCTAAGTAAGTAATAAAAATTCAAAATTGATTACGAAGTTTATTTTGTGCAGCAGCACTTTTATAAATGTGAGATTGGGAGTACTCTGCAGCAAGACAGGCAAATTGCATGTTACTGTCTTAAAAGAGTAATAAACCAGTCAAAAAAGGAAACCGTATTTCTAGCTGGTCACTCATCTCTAGAGAAAGAGCTGCCTCTTTAAAGGCAGCTTTTTTGTTTTTCCTCCCACAACTTTAGTGGAAGTTCTTTAGCCTGTTTTTGATACACATAAAGGCTGCAAAAATTCAGACTTTGAATTGGTAATTTAATGTCTAACCTGTCTTTCAAGAACTTGTAGAAAAGTCTCAGACTCAAGACAGTGAAACATGAAGGAAGTGCAACTAGATTCTGGCACACCTCTTGTTAGCTTCCTCCTGCCATGCTGTCTAGACTGCCAAGCCCTACCTGAAACCTATGCCTCTGGCTTCTCCTAGCAGAGCCCTACAATGCAGACACTAACACAGTTATGCTGAGCCTCTGTGCTTGGCTAGAACATAAGCCACTAGCACGCCAGCACAGCCTCCACAACAGCTGAGGCTTTCCGCCCAAGTTCTCTTCCATAACCTCCAGGCAGAAGTGACTGCCATTTAACTGCAAGTGAGCACAACTACCCATACAGCCTTCTAGTTTAAAGATTAAAAACATTTAAGCACAACTCTTCATCTATCAAGGTACTGCCATGTACTAAGTTCTGGGAACAGTATACTGGCATTTTACTAATACGTAAGCTGAAGAATGGCACAAGACACTAGATTACGCCTTTTTTATTTCAAAAGCTAGGATAGCTTCAATATCCATGTCATGGTGAATCAGAACACATGTAAAATACCTTACAATACATTAGATTCCAAAAAGGTACCAAAAAGTACAGTAAAATTAACACTTCCATTACAGGAAATGTATGACACAAAAACAATACAAAATAAAAAGGTGGAAAGTGACACTGGTTCCCTAAGATGCATCTCATTCTGTACAACTGGAGTAATGCAGAGTCCATAGTTAACTCCAAGAGGCAGTCCCTAGATGCAGAGCTGCAGCTTTAAGCAGACCCTCAAAATCAGTTTCAGTTTAACCTATTAATAAAATCATTAATTAATATCTTCAGCAAGGCTGAAATTTACACACCACACTGTCTAGACAACTAGTTATCTGTAAGTATTAAACATGTAAAACATTTCCAGGGAGCTCTTCCAAGTAGGATAAGATGCACATTTAACAGGCCATAGAAATTTATTGTAAAGTTAAATTTGGTACAGAACTGAAATATCCATCTACAGCATTGTATACAAAACCTATGCAGTCATTTTCCAAAAGAGACCATGCCACTGCATACCTGAATAAGTTTGATCAATATGGCTTGTAGTTATTCTGATGACCACCACGTCTTGGTGTCTTCCCATAATTTGCACTGCCTTGACCTATGAACAAGAGAACAAATGCATTAAACTGCTAATTAGTTACGCTTGCTTATACCCAATACAGTTCTCTTTACTTACTGTAATCATAGCCTGGTCCATATCCATAATACCCATATCCTGAATAATCATAGCCTCCATAGCCACCATAACCTTGCTGATAGCCGTATCCTTGATTCCCATAACCCTGGTTCCAGTAATTGCCATAACCTTGATTCCAATTTTGACTTTGAGCTATAGAAGGGAAAACCATCCACAAAATCCCATTTTAGTACACACAACTTATTTAGAATGTGTCCATACTAAAGTAGTGCGTGTAGTACTTACCGCCGCCTCTTCCACCTCTGCCTCTTCCTCCATAGCTACCTCTTCCTCCACCACTACTGAACTGTTGCTGCTGGTATACTTCTTTTGGCTGTGCTACCTTAATCTCGCACTGAAAATAAAAAACAAGGAAGAGTATGTATACGGTCTTACAGCAGCACCACCCAAACTAACCAGCTAGGAAAGCCTGAGGTTACTCTAGAGGCAAAGGAGGTATACATGCAGTGCTCCATCATGTAACCAGGACTAATGCACATCCAGAAGCACCTGATTTATTGTGCCACCCAGGCAAAGGTAAGTCACTGTTGGCCATTCAAAGCAGGCCACTGCTTTCAGAGTATTTTACACTGCCTATTCCCTACCACCAGCTTCCCCATGGAAGAGAAAGGTTAGTCATTATTGTCTGTTCAAAGCAGACCACTGCTTTCAGAGTGTTTTAATACTGCCTGTTCTCTACTATCGACTCCCCCATTGAAAAGGTGCTTCAGGCCACACAGCATAGCCACTGCTCCTGTAGGAGCCACAAGGCTGCCCTCTACCCCGGGCACAACCTCCAAGATGAGGCTGTTGCTATTGGACTTCACCTGAGCTGCACTGAATGAACAAGGCTCTGAAAAATGCACTGTAATCAGTCCTCCTGGCAGCCTTCATACACTCCATACACTGAGCATCTGTGTTGGACCGTAAGGTACACTTACCAACACTTGAAATCATCATTTAGCAAATACTAAGAACAGCTAAAAAACAACCAGAACTGACATTTCCAAGACAGGTTCCCAAGCTGCAGTTCAAGCTGTCAGCCAGCTTCCTAGTTCCTGAATCTGTGCACAGCCAGAGATGAAAGCTGCTGCTGCTGTGAAAGGAACAACTCCCTGTGATAGCAGAACCTGAGCAAGCCTGGCATGGGGTTCTTCACAGCAGAGCTTTAAGATAACCTGCTCTTTTTTTATTACTATGACACAAAACCAGGCTGTATTATGAGATACAGAGACATGATTTCTCAACTCCCTTTGCACGTAAGCATTCATCTCTCCTGAAAACAAACTTTATTGCTAGCTATAATGTCTTGACAATACCAGTGCATTAGGTTTGCTAAAGTTTATTCCGTGCTGTCAAGACCAGTCTTAAAACTAAGTCCAATCTAAGTCACTGTGTCAGACAGTATGACCAGATCTCTTAACAGGGCTTTGAAGTTAGTGTATGGTCAGCATTGGCCATGGAGCAAGGGAAGAGGGACAGCCCCAGCCAGCACACATTATTTGCCTCCAGTCCTCTTCTCATTAGCTTAACACATGAGCCTCTATTAGCTATTCCCACGAATGAGCACTGTCAGCTGTTCAGAGCTCCTCACACCAATTTTACAGTAGTCCACGTAAACCAGCTGACCAGCTACAAGTTGCCATAAGCATACATTTACTCTCTGCATCCCTTGTATTGGGTTTACGTGACAAGGTTTTGGTAGCAGGGAGGGCCGCAGGACAGAAGACAGCAGAAAATGCCCCCATGTCAGACAGAGCCAGTTTTCAGCCAGCTGCTTACAAAGTTAATGTCTGTAAGCCTTGAATTTATGTAGGTGCTCTATGCTCAAAATAGACATGTATCTGTTCAAATGGCTTATATTGCTAGACTGATAGATAAATAAGCCAGTTTTTCCACATGTGTTTAATGAATGCAATTAGATACTTTACATACAGAAGTCCCTAGAACATAGCAAGTATTAAAGCCACAATTATTGGCAAAGAACCTTGGTAGCCTCTGCACCTGAAGTTATGGCCAAAAAAATCCTGTGGTAAATTGCAACCTGTCCTTATCATAATTTGGGTACCTTGAAATCAGAGGTCTACAAAATCCCTTTCAGATTATACATGTAGAGGTATTACACATAACTTGTACAAAAAATTGCAAGTCAAAGTTTCTACCTTGCTTCCACTGACGTTATGGAATTTCTTCTCCAAAACCTTCTTCACTGGATCCTCTTCCTTGAAAGTGATGAACACAAATCCCCTCCTCTTGTTGGTCTTTGGATCCATTGGAAGTTCAATTGCTTCAATCTGAAGACATGAAATACTACTTTCAGACTTGTATTTTAGCAGAACAGTTAAATGCATGGCATTTGGGATGGGAAACTCACTTTCCGTTTTACTATCTATGCATATTATGCAACACTAAATTTGCCATATTCTTTCTATACTAACACCGGCTTTCAGACCAGGTTTCAATTTTACAACTCTTCAAAACAATTTTAATTCAAACCGTTTTATCTGACATTAAAGACAAGGGTATCTAACTAGCAGTGGAAGGATCTAGTGCAGTATGTGCCTTCCTTGCTTTCAAGATGGGAAACCTCTGGATCAGTTATGGAAGGCTTGATACATCTGAAGTTAAGTTGCAACTTATTAGTAAACTGAACAGCAACTGGAGACAGTATGTTTCAGTGTTTAGTAAGATAACATTACACACCTCTCCAAACTCTCCGAAGTATTCCCTGATTTTCTCTTCTGTGGCTTCTGGGTTTAGTCCACCAACAAATATTTTCTTCACTGGATCCTTTTTCATTGCCATGGCCTTCTTGGGGTCAATTAGTCGTCCATCTAGCCTGTGCTCTTTCTGTTCCAGAACCTGAAAGATAGTTTGATAGGATTAACTCAGGCTGAAAAGTTTCCCCTAGAAGTCAAGAATCTGAAATATGAAGCTTAAATTCACCTTTTCAACACTCCCAGGTTCTTTGAAGAGAATAAATCCAAAGCCTCTGGATCTTCCTGTGTTAGGGTCCATCTTTATCGTACAGTCAGTTACCTCACCAAATTTGGTGAAGTAATCTTTCAAGTCTTTTTTGCTTGTATCCCAGCTGAGGCCGCCAACGAACATCTTCCTGAAATTTCAAAGAGGTAAGAGCTATTAAGACTCAGGAAGTACCACAGAAAAGCACATGCAGCAAAATCCTCACAGTGGTACACACCTCAGCAGCATTGTCAGAAACAGGACCAACTGTCGAAAGTTAAAACACTTTTGCATCTTGTCAAAAGCTAGTGATACTACAGGAGTGCACAAGGGTGGGTTCCCCCCCTTTGAGGGAATGACACAATGCACCCTGAAGTTTATTACAGGTTATAAAAAACAGTGAAATTGCCTAAAATATTCCGCACCAGTAACTTATGTTCTTTCAACAGTATTGTTATTTGCAACAAAGCAGTATTGACTATCAAGTACTGCCAACTCGTTTTTTTTTTTTCCAAAGAACCTAGGATCATTCCTACTGCTTTGAAAGCATTCAGGATAGAATAAGGCATCAAAAGCAAAGTCCCTGACCTTCTTTAGAATTTGGACAAATGGCTGTAAAAATTTTAGTCTTAAGAACGAGCTGCGAAATTTAAACTAGGTATCTATGACCTCCAAGAACAGTCACATAGAACAGATGGGACTTTGAACCTGCCTTAACTACTACGTTGTGCACTTCTTCCTGCTTAGTTACTGAATCTAGTTCTATCTTCATCAGTACTACAGGAGTACATCCACTATTAGTCTTCACTTTCATGAAGGGCCAATCCAGTACTTCCCTGCCCACTTTCCCACACAAAATATCCTCTGAAGCATCTCAAAGAACTAAATATTAGTGAAGCATAATACAGAAGTGAAGCTAAAAACCAAAAAACTTAGATCAGTCAATAACACACTTTTCAAATGCCTCACTTCAAATGAAAACATTAATAACATAGCTATATTTTCTATTTTCAGAGTTTCCAAGGTAACAAGCTAAGCTTTTAAAAACATTCAAGCCTTTTTGTCTATCAACTAAAGCAGTTTAAGTTGTCATTACTCTGTTTAGAGGCAACCTAGATTTGGCACTAGAAGCTAGCAGCACTTTAGAAACTAGATTATGTTTAAATAAAATTGTTTTTTGGTGTTTATGCATAACTTTAATTTGCTAGAACTAGCATCCATTTGTGTTCAAAACTTAACATGAGGAAAAACCTGTATGTCCTTCTTTTGTTTTTTCTTCCTTAAACTAGATGAAACCACATCCTTTGTAAGCTAAACACTCGGAGTTTTTTTGGTTTTGTTTTCCAGAAAAATCAAGCTGTGTACACTTCAACTTGACAAGTGCAGCTTGATACATACAGTCCAAGTAGCCTGTGTGCTTCCTGCAGCTATTACAGAAAAGGCCTTACAAAGTTTACTAAAAACCTTTCACTGACAGGTGAAAGAAAGGTAACCTGATGGATTCCTTCCCATCACAACAGCTTACTGACCAAGCACAACTGCTATAAACTGTACCGACTTGACAGTGGTTTGCCATAGCATACCCTGCCATCGTTGACCACACTTACAGAGTGATCAAGAGAAATTCAGCGGTTAGGGGGTGACAGGAATTTGTCTGGAGGCAACCTGCTTTATGCAGTCGGGTTGGGGCTGTGGTACACTCACAGATATTGCCACATGCTAACTTCAACTCTTACCACAGCATTAGATACTACACTTTGTAATCTGCAGTCCTTTGTTTTGTAATTGGAATGATTGATACCTACATATATTTAAGTAACACAATACAGAGCTTTTGAAATTAAGACCAAATTTGGCTTTGCCTTCAGAGTCCACACAAACTAGACAATTGCATTCCTAACATGTAGTTTTCTTCATCCTGAGCATATTAGTGCAGCTAAATCAAAGCATGTTTCAGCTCTTAACCAAATACTCCAGAGTCAGCACCCTGAACTCTGCCTTGGACAGCTCTTGTTTTAGCACAGCACTAAATTTTCTACATAGGTCAATCCCTCTAAATAACTGCTTTTCTTCTAAGTTTCATTTCACACGGATTTGGAGATGAAACTTGTCACCTCCTATGTGAGAAAGGGAAGGAGTATCACCCACTTTTCAGGGCAGAATAATAAAACAGTAAAAAGAAAACTTGCACACAGCTAAGAGGCCTCGTTTTCAATCCTTCTAGTATCTGCAAAAGGTACATCCAGCCCCAGCTTACAGAAAACTTGTGCAAGTCTTACTCCTTCCCTTACAGCCAAAATCTATTACACTACTGTGGCTTCAGCTCTCTGTTGAACCTGAGGGATCTGACCCTCTGGTTCAGGGCCCAGGGATAACAAAGGGAGTTCCAATTAAATACACAGAGTAGCTTGAATAACAAAGACCCACTTAAGAAACAGGCCAGTAATTTTCAAGTCAAGCACGTCTACTCATAAACAAACCAAATATGATAGGGGAAAAATGACTGTTTTGTACACAAGGATGCCACTAGCAAAACACAGCGAAACTACACCAAACTCCTCCAGAAATCACCCGTAAGAGGTAAACTGTTTTCTGACAATGCTGCAAAGCGGCACACCAACACCGCACTTGCTGGTTTAAACACACCGCGCATCATCTCAATCGCGCCGTTTTTCTTTTACTCCCTCAAAAAATCCTTCGCTTACCCCGACTAGCTTCCAAAGCTGGGAGATTTTTATTTGCGTTACACAAAATACGATCGCATTTACACCGACGCCGGTGGCGAGCGGTAACGCAAATCTCCCCCAGAAAGTTTGCATCAGCCCTCCCCACCCCCACCCCCCGCCGAAAAC